CGACTTGGTACATTCTCAAAACATTTCGCCGGCATCGTAGTCGGCATCATCCGCACCAAGCAACGAACTCGTCAAAGAGACAAGTGAACTCAATGCCTCGACAACCGTTCTACCGAAAACGGTTACAATATCACTCCTCTTTCTGTCATTGTCTATCTATCCACTCGTTACAGTCTTATCCCACTGCCGCCCAAATTGCGACAACAAGGTCAACCCACTTTGAAAAATGAATGCTTTATAAGACATATTTCTTGCCTACTGTCATGGCAACATGAGAGGAATCCCGAGCGGTGACCATCTATCTTGAGACAAGCCTACTTTAGTCAGTTTGTAGTGTGAAGATATCCATTTGTCCTTTTCATGCCCTTCGTCTACTCTTATTCATGAGACCTATTCGAGAATGGAACGACCATATAATTGGGAGGCAAGGCCTACATACGATATTTTGGAAAAGCCTCAATTATTGGTGGTAAAATTTTCTTAAAGTACCCAGAATAACTAATTCCAGGTGGCTTCAATCTGTGATCGCATCCAAAATATCTTATCTGGCTCCAATCATTTACTCCGGAATAGAGTAATGTTCCAGAGGAATCCTGAAGTCGACCTGTTTCTTGCCCACGGTTATGGCAACATGAGAGGAACTTCGAGAGGTGACTACCTCGAGGCTAGACTTCAGTATATTTTGAAGATATGAAGAGCAAGATGGTGTGGTCGCTTTGACGAGTTCGTAGCTTGGTACGGAGAATGGCAAAACAGACTGACGATGCCGGCAAAACGTTTGAGAATGTATCAAGTCCACTGTCAGATGCTGGGAATCATGACAACTAAAATGCCAGACGACTTCGGACTAGGTGCGTTCTACATAGTCACCCTGACAACAAGACCAAGTTGCGACAACGAGGTCAACCAACTTCTAAAGAGTTTCTTAGTTCGATTGAGCCCAAAGCCAACGGTAGATTACTTCGGGTTTTCTGTCATTTGAGTAGCCTTGCAAATTAATGCAGACAGGCTCTTCGAGACAACCTCTCTTTATTATGTGGAATACGTGTTGAACCTTTGTGGCTAAAAACAATACATTCTTATCGCTACTTACATCTTACAATGCTTCATGCAGCCCGAAATGGTTCATATCTGCATGCACAAACTACTACTTACAGTCGTTATAGAACGAATTGGTTAATTGATGCTCAATTGGTGCTATGCCTATGCAGTCTTTTATGTGCGTGTTTTGTGAGTATCCATACACGTACAAATACGGAAATTTAGGAAGCGTAAAGATCAATTTGAACAAGGCTTGAACTCTAGCCTTAACTGAGATTGCCTAATACCAGATACAAATCTGGCTTAGCTTACGAGGCTTTTGTGTGAAATTTAGTGTGTAGAATGTGCGACGCAACACAATAGTAGTCCTGGCGAATGAATATTTTGGACGGATTACTTTTTCCAATGATATAATGGGAATGCGATAATATACTTACGTTTCAATTATAGAATAATAATACATTACAATTTTTCAGATGTTTTGGCAATAGTAGGGCCAATTTATGTAGGGATGTTTACGAGATACCAGAATATGCTAATTTTATTCTTAAATTAAACTCCAACCATATTTACATGACCTTCAAAAACGAGGAGGATAAAGCTTGTGCATTGCCAATATTAGGATAAAAAAATATAAAAGTTAAAACATTAATTAAAACATTAATTTTCGGAAATGCAAAATAGTCATTACTTATTATAGAGGCTGAATTGGAAAGTGGCAGTTTAACAAGCAATACAATTTAGAACGGAGATTATTTAGGACATTTCTCACGTTACAGCTTGCATTCGGGCCAAAGCAGTTTGCAGATATAATATCTTTAATATTCTTCGGTTATACTCTACTTACCTACAGATAAAAGCTTGACCAAGTAGTGCTGAAACAAAATAGTGTATGAGATGTATTCACCCGATTTCGTT